GTCTCGTCACGGGGCGAGAGTCGGTGCCAATTGCGATGTGAAGCGGCCCTTCCTGCTCACTAGTCACTGTGACGACTAATGTACTGTGATGTATGTGAATAATTCCAGGTTGTGCAGCGGACATTTCCCCACAGAAATGTTCCAATGTGATCTGCAGGCAGAGTTCACGAGCAGTGTTTATTGGCAAAAGCGTCTCAAAGTCGAGAGCAATATATCTCTTGGATTGAAAGAGACGGACTCACAAGCCTGCTTGTTCACAATGTCACAGGGCTGCAACACTTCACCAGAAGCTTTGTAGCCCCGTTCTGAATCGCAGGAGGTGACGCTGCACATGCCTCGAAATCTAGCCTGTGTTGTGATGTGATTTTACTTTCGTTGTGGTTTGTAATGCACTCATCAGTGCTGATTCTTTCTCACCCTGAAACAAACAAACAAACAAAAAAAAGACGTATTGCAGTCCCCTTTTTACCCAGGGGTGTCCGTCCCTAACCCAGGAGAGCTCTGAGCACCAAGTCAGGTTTATTATTGACCCAACCTCTAAAGATCGGGAACACCTCTAAACGTTGGATCGGTTTAGCTAGTAACATGGTGACTTTAATAATACGTTGACCAATTATGGGTTTTGCTGAATGTATTAACATCTTAAACTGGCGCTGAAACGGGCCTGTAAAACAAACCGAAATGGCGTGTTCCAGAACCAGGGTTGGTGATCCTACATGTAGGGTGACCAATGTATGGTAACAGAACTGGGGCTCTCTGGGACCAGGGTTAGAGATGCACGATATCTCTTGAGATATTGAAAGGCGAGTTGGTAGTGGAGCAAGTAAAAGTTCCTTCCAACCAGAAAGACAGAATAAGGACAATCCAGCATGTCAGCTGCTGAGACTACTTCAGGCGTGTTTCTTTCTCCTGCGTCTTGGAGAGGAAAGAACCTTCGCTTGTTCTCCGGCAGCCGACGCAGGCCGACACGGCCCCCCCTCCGGTCACGATACTGGGCTTACCTGACAGCTGGGCTGGTTACTGGTAATTGCTCATCGAAAAAGAACCGAGGCCCTTCCTGTGGGAGCCTGCCCGTTCCAGACTTTGGCATCATTCTGTCCCATGTTCACAACCGCTTCTTCCATCCCCCCCACCCTCCCAGACAGGGGAATGCTAACTGGGTTTGATCGTCATTTTGTCTTGTTTCCTTGAGGAGCCCCAGCGCCCCCCGTTCAGGAGTCCAGGAATCATGGACTCTCGGTCCCACCTTGGTCCCTGTGCATCTGGGCCGAGTTCCAGCTCGGGGGGCCTCAGTCCTCCTCCGTTTCGGAGCACTGACTCTTCGTTCCGTAGATCAATGCGTGTTGCGGCTTGTCCCAGGGGTCCCTTGTTTCCGTATTCCCTTGGGGGAGCACGTTTTTGTCATGTGGGTCTAGGGTGGGGGTGGGGGGGGGTTGAGGAGCCCTACGATTGGAGAGGTCTCGCGCTCCCGATGTGCTCCTGCTTCCGTGGGGACTTGAAGGGCGACTGTCCCTTTCCCAGGTACGCCACGGGATACGACATCACGGAGCACTCGGTCCTGATCCACGAGTACTACAGCCGGGAAGCCCAGAATCCCATCCACCTGACCGTGGACACGGCCCTGCAGAGCGGGCGAATGAACATCCGCGCCTACGTCAGGTGAGAAGCGCCGGGGTTGCCCGTCTGTCCCGTGGGGCTGCGAAGGAGGCACTCCTTTACGCACAGGGTGGCGGGAGTGGGGAACAAGCTACCCAGCCACGCTGATGCCAATACCCTTTGAGAAATGGCTGAATGAGATCCTTGTTTCAATTACTTTCTAACTACCAAACCATCTAGATAGTTAAAACGAGAGGAGGCCACAGCCTATCTTCCTAATTGATCACTGAGTGCAGGGGCCCTGGATGATGTCCTTACTTTAAGCATGGACGTGGTCTACTGAACTAACCCCTGGGTTTTTTTTTTTCCTGGTTTTGTTTTAATTTGGCTGAATGTCGCACTGAATTAGGCTCTGCGCTGTTGTATTCGCACATTCTCAAAATCCAGCGCCTTGTCTCGGGATATGTCCATTTGGATCAGAGGTGCACATCTTGTCCCCAATTATGCAAGTCTGTATAACCAGTCCACACAGCCACACAAGAAGCTGTCATCCCGATTTCCTGTTCTAGTGAAAATGATGTTCCTTTATTCATTTTGTTGACATTTCCTCTTTCGGTATCTTTTTCTTTTATGTGTGTTGCGATACAGAAAAATAAAAGCAGTCAGCGATTTTTTTATATTTACATATTTATTTACAATAACAAAACAATTTTAATTACAATAACTTATGAGGAGTAAAGAAGAAACACAAACGTTCACTTATCTTAGAGTCCCTATCTGTCAGTTTGCTTCAGTCACTGGTCTGTAGAGTATTGTTTCTAGGATTTCCCTTTCAGTTGGTGTCCACCAAAACAGATACACAACAGGCAACGTTCAGTATCCCTCGATAAACAGTAAATCCAAATATATATTGTATTAATCCTGTTCGCCGGTGTAAAATGACTTTAAAACAGGCGGAATCCCTCTCTCCTCAAACTCCGTCCGTTACTCTCTCTGGTGAAGTCAGACTCCCCTCCCCAAAGTTCTAAACCTTTTTGCCGCATGTTCCTTTTTACCGATTTACATAATATAATATAATCATTTTATTAAATCATTCTAATAATATTAATTCCAGTCAATTCTGGTCAAGAAAATTCAAGGCGACACCCATTTTTGTACATAAAGCAATGTTATTTACACATGATGAATATTCTAGCAAATCCCAAAAATATTTTCAAAGGTAGTTATTCATAACATGTGGTGTGTTCAAACAGTTTTTTTTTCCCTTATCTTTCGCCTGGGCTGCGTGTTGATGCAGTTGAATGCCCATTGAGAATTTGTCACTCACAAGCAGTGCGATTGGCGAACACATTTAGCCATGCCCCTCAGACCACACCTACACCATCTACCTCATTCTGATTTCTTATTGATTGCACATCTCCAGTCATTGTTTACACGTCCGCATCATTTACATTCAAACTGTTTACTTGTTTACTTGCACATTGTCTACTGTTTGTTTTATATTGTCTTGATGCACTGTCTGCACTTTGTGTTTTTACACTTGTTTTAACAATCGAGAGACTTTCTGTCAGTAAGAATTCCATTGGACCAGTACATGTACCGGTTACATATGGCAATCAAGTTCAAGTTCAAGTCACTTGTAAAATCCAGAGACCGTTCCGGGATGAGATGAATTGTGAAGTGTTTTGCAGGGAACAGACACAGGCTTTTCCTGAAGCCTGTCACCACTACTCTCATCAGGGGGACCCTCACTGCCTGGTACAGTGTTGCCTGTTGTCGTTCAGCCCAGGAGCTGTGCTTGACTCTCGTGTCTTCCTGTTGGCAGCGCACAGATGGGAGTGCCGGGCAAGACTGTGGGTGTGATGTTCACCCCTCTGACTGTGAAGTACGTTTCCTACGACACTGAGAGAATAGGAGGTGAGTGCTTTTTAACCACTGGACTGCTTTTGCGTTTTTTTTTTCCCCTTTATAAAGGGGAACGGCGGCCCCAGCTTCTCAGACCGGTTCTTAAATCTCTGTAACAAAATAAATTAATTGACGGTACCGAAACATTTGACAAATTTCAAATGAAGAACCAGCACTTGGTGAGAGGACTGTAGGGTCTCCCATTTTGTCGCCAAGCCCCGGTCTCACCGCGGGCGAGAGCGCGAGAGTGTGCCCGGATTGCAGCCTGAAGCGGCCCTTCCTGCTCACTAGTCACTTTCATCACGTCGCCGCCTCTCTTTCTCTCTCCTCTGTCTGTCCGTCCAGTCGACCTCCTCCAGCGCACCCGCCAGAGTCCCAGCCGGACGGTAGGCTTGACCACAGACCTGGAGCAGGTCGGCACCGCAGCCGCCCGCGTTCAGGACATGTTGACGACGGTCCTGAGCTACACGGAGGACGTGCTGGTGAGTGGAGCTTTTGCCAAGGCGTGCCAGTAACCAAGAGACTGGACAGGTCCTGCGGTGTAGGTAGAGCCGTTTTTAGGAGAGGGCGGCGCGTTGGCACAGTGGTTGGCATTGCTGCCTTGCAGCTCTGGGGCTGTGGGTTCAATTCCCTGGGTACTGTCTGCGTGGAGTTTGCATGTTCTCCCCGGTGTTTTTGTGGGTTTCCTCTTGCATTCCAAAGACATGCTGGGAGGTTAATTGGCTTCTGGGAAAATTGGCCCTGGCTTGCATGTGTCTGTGTGTGTGTGTGCCCTGCGATGGACAGGCGTCCCGTCCAGGGTGTACCCTGCCTTGGGCCTGCTGCTTGCTAGAATAGATTCCCCTCCCCTGCGACCCTGAATTGGCCGGAACTGTTAGAAAATGAATGGATGGAAGTTAGAAGAAGGGTCTCCATACGTGCCCAAACTGTGCCACTCTCTGACTCAGTCTGAACAAGTTACTGAACGTCCGTGTGCTTTTACCACCTCTTTAATTTTTTTTTCTTTGTTTTCGGGTTCTCTGTTAGTCTGGGAAGGTGACGGCCGACAACACCGTGGGGCGATTCCTTACGGATTTGGTCAGCAAAGTTCCCAAGATCTCGCCAGAAGACTTCGAGAGCATGCTGAACAGCAACATCAACGTAAGGCTCACCCTTTTCTCCCGATTTATTTTCAAAGCCTTCTGGAATTAGCGTACAGAGATCGGAAGCTCCGGATCAGGGCCTTATGTTCCCCTTGGATGTCAAAAATTGAGGCCGTGAGGTTGTCCTTCCTGGACGTGCAATGACACCGTTTCAGGAAATCTGAGCAGGGGAGACCTCCTGTTGATGTAAGGACTGGTTATATGTACTAGTCTAAACAGGAACGAGATATCCAGCTCAGATCCAAAATGACTGATTGATCAAAAGGCACTGATCAAAAGGCACTGAGGTTTTGAGAATGTGGGACTAAAACCACACAAACTCCTTTCATAGGGACCTTCATTAAAAAAAGTTAAAACTCAGAAAGTACAGGAGCTTAGGAGAACAGATTAATTGTATGCTTAGATAAAGTAACAGTGATTTTCCAGGCCTCTGTACT